GGAAAGAGTTTGCCCTGACCACCACCAGCAAGGTGGACAGCGTGTCTGCAGAAAGAAGTTCCTGTTTTTAAAACATGCATTTTACTCCATTCCACCTTCACCTTCTACAGAGCATACATAATTACTGCTGCAGGTTTATATACATGTTGAATTACAACCACAGCATAGGATATCACAGTGCAGCACGGCACAACATATGGTTTCCATTGAGAGGTGTCAGAATTGTATGGACATCTTTGGTGACTTCTCAGCTGTTGTTCCTAGAGACCCAAAGAAACAGTCCCAAATGCTGTTCTTGCTTTCTTAGTCTTTACTGCTCATAACCACGGCTCAGGCAATTAAATCATCTTTTCTTTTTAACAATAAATGCCATCTCTAGATCTCTCTGCTATTAGGTAATAAGTACTTTTGCTCTTGTACAGGTCTTTACATCCAAATCCATCAGTGATTTATAATTTTTACGTTCATTTTAGGGCAATGACTCACAAGTGAGGTGAACTGCAGATGTTCAGCTCTCAGAATGAAACCTAGGCCACTTAATTCTCAGCATTATTCCCCGTACTCTTTTGAACAGACACTGCGTTGAGATCAATCAGATGCCTCAACGTTAATGCCATTATACTGAACAGAAAGTTACGCAATACCACCTAGCTAGGATTCCCTATTGCATTTACAAACACACTTTCAAATTAGAAAAAAAAAAAAAAAAGGATAAACCCAAACTCCAAAATCATTAGGAAGATTTTTTTTTTTTTTAATTCTCCGTAATTAGCAAGTCAAAATAAGGTCTCAAACCCAAACAAACATTCAAAAGTCATAGTACATGCATTAACAACTTGGCAAGTTTCTTAAAAAGACCATAAAAGCTTAAAGCATACACAGAGACATGCTTTCAAATAGATATACAAAGTTTATTTAAACTGGCAATGTTCCAGTAACTATGTAAGGCAGTTTAATGACATGATGTGTTGCAGTTTCATCGCACTCCGTGCTAACTTAACAAATACTTCTCATTTAATTTGTGGAAAATGGTCTGTCCTTCAGTGCTTTAAGTTTTTGCTTGGATTTTCACACCAATTCATTTACTGCTGACAGGACTGCTTTATAGATCTCTCTCTTGTATATACTGAAAAAAGCAGGAGAGGTCCTTAACCTAGTAGATATTCCAAACCGGCTAAAAATTAGTATTAATCAAATCTGACTTCCCGCATAACATAAAGAACCTCACACAGTAAATTCTGCACCAAGCATATAAATTCTGGAGCTAAGATATCTCTCTTCAGGAAAAAGCAAGCAACAAAACAAAAGCAAAAGTGGCATTGCTTCATGTACAATCACTTCAAGTGAAAGACAGCAACAGGTAAATCTATTGAACAAAATCTGTGCTCAATGTCTGCTAAATAAGAAGTGTATCTATTCTGAATTCAACTCAGTTCAGCTTTTCACCTTTCTCAAAGGCCCTTGTGAGTGTGTAGACCTCCCAATCTTCCATATTCTGAGAGACTCAGAGGACGTGAAAGCCTACGCTGGTCATGGAGAGAGGAAGGCAGAATTAGCCTTTGCACAGCAAAGGGACTAAACAGAAATGATCATCAGCAGTAGGGGCACGGTGATCTGAAGCTCAGCTCAAAGGAATATTTTGGCCAGAGACTTCCACAAGAGGAGAGACAGCAAGAAAGATGTTCTGCCGCATCGTGCCAGCAATGCTTGTGGATCAGACTAGGAAGCAGGCTCCTGGAATGGCTGGGGACCTTCCTTTTACTCAAGCAATTTACTAGGCAGCGTATTTACTCTTTAAGATTTATTTCGTAGATACACGTTTGTCTCGGCCTTATACAATGAGAAATTTTGTACTAGATTGTACATAAGCTGTGCCTTAATTCCTAAGGTAATTGGAATTCACAGACTTGCTGTTAATTCCAGTGTGCTCTTAATCAGGTGGAAGATTCACACCTACTACTACAGGCTTGGAAAGAGAGTAAAAGGGTGTTATCATACAGCTCATTAGGGGAGTCAAAGAAATTTTTGGAGATTGCCGAATAATTTAGGATCTCAGCCATTCTTGCAGAAAGAGTTAAAGCACATTTTTCAGAGCATAATCAGTTGTTCACATCACCAAAATTTGAGATGAACATTTACTGAATCTCTAGGAAGAAAAAGAAAACACACCCTAAACTGCAACATCTGTGTTGCTGCTGTTCAGCCATTAAGGGTTATTTGCCTAATGTGAGTAATCTAATAGAGAGCTTCAGAATACAGAAAAAAATAAGGTAACTTTCTAGAGAGTATGCTGCTGAAGGCTGAGGCAATACTGATTTACTTCCATAGGATCAAGGTTTAATATTTAGGCTCCAAATACAGGTTGCATATAAAATGGGAATGACTTAACTTTGGCTGCCCTTACGCCTTTTTGCGTAGCTGCTAGGTTGCCAGGCAAATTCCCTATAAACTATTCAATATATAACTAGTAAAGCCTTATATTGCTTTTGCTAAAAGTTGATTCCTCATCCATTCCTGATGCTCACTTATGCTGTTGATACCCAAGCTCAAGTTCTCACACGCTCCAAACAGTCCATCAGACTAAGTGCTCTGATCCAGTCTGCAACACTCAGGTTTCAATGATCCACACTTTACTGGAACTAGTCAGAAAGCATTCACTAAGCATAAAGGAGCCCTTTAGGATAGTCCCAGGTGTGCCCAATTATTTAGTTGTTCCTGCAAGCTGATGAAACCATTAATTTTGACGTAGGCTCCTCAGAAGGCCATCATGTTATTGCATGCAGCCCAACCACTGGGCTCTTGAGAAAACAAGCAACTCGACAGATGTTAAGAGCTCATTTATTATTTGAAGGATTGTATTTCTATCAATAATAGATACTGTGGCATCAGCTTGCAAGTCAGTCTTTTGGGTTACCCACTCTCTCAGAGTCATTATTTCTAGCAGCCTTCTGTGGCCTAACAAGTTAAACAAGTAAACTGCAGGGGACTGTAAGATGGGCCCAGCTTGGGCAGACACTTAATATTTGTCTTTTCTACCTAAACATGGCCTAAACCAGTACAAAATACAATCATGTGTTGTTTTGCTAAGTGTGTTTAACTCAAATGTACCTCCTACAGGTGAAAAGAATACGGTAGCGCAATAGTAAATTTGCTAACTTAACACCACAAAAATCAGTGCATGGAAACACTAAGGTGACTATGACACTGTTAAAACACTCACAAGTATTTAGCATAGTGCATAGACAAGACCTCAGTTCCTGGGAGCTTGGAACAGAGTCGCCCAGGCTAAATGAAGCAGATGCTGGACTGCAGTGGCACAGAACTCTGAAAAGTCTCTTGCCACACCTGAAATGAACAGCGGGGGTAAGCATATTTCATCTTTTCTTGGGGTTCACATGCTCTTAGGCAGATGTTTAGGCTATCATTGTTTGTCTGGAAGAGCAGGGATAACTAAAGTCTTCAGGACTGCTTGCCTCCTGAAGGCACATTTTACACCTGATCTGCTTCAGAGGCCAAAAGAAAGATAAACTCTCTATATTCATCCAGGATGCAGGGATGCTCTGATACTGCAAATGAGAGAGAGGAAAGGAGAAAATAAATACATTAATTACAGAAAAAAAAAAAACAACCTAAACTGAGGGAAGTGCCTTCACAGAGGTGCTGCAAATGAACTGTGTGCAACACCTTTGATTTTGAAGCTGGGAAGCATGCAGACATGCAAGCAACCACAACATAGTATAATATAGTATTCCACAATGCACGAGAGATAACTCTTACAGATGCCCAATGTATGTTCTGGCTACAGCACAGGATATCAAGCTCTCCAAGTACATCAGCACCAAAACTCAGCACAAGCAACCCTAGCCTGCTCAGAAGTCTCCTTTTTAAAAAACAGGTTGGCTAGATCTACACTGCACTGTGATGAGGATAGAGGAGAGGAGAGAGGGAGGAGAGAAGCAAAAAAAACTCCCACCCGATTCACCGTTCTTCTAATTAACCTGACTATCCTGTTCTTTTTTTTTTTTTTTTTTGGCACAGTCTTCAAGTTACTACCTCATAGAGTCTAGAGCAACTTCTGTTTGACCAATGTTAAACTATTTATGGTTCTGAAATGCAAGCCACATAATTTCAACATACAGAAGTATACATTAATAAAAGACCAAGTGCTCAGTCACCGTAAATCAATCTAGTTCCTTTGAAGTATATGAAGTTATGCCAAACCACCCCAGCGGAAGATCTGATGCAGGATTTAATTAAAGAATACATGGTTCTGCTTCTATTTTGTTTGTAGGAGGTACCACAGTATTGCAGTGTCTGGAACAGCTTGACCCTTCTGGCACTGCACAGTTACATATTAACGATGATGTGGTCTTGGGTGAAAGCCTGTGCTTACGTTAAGAGACTAGCATCACTAGCCCCCTAAACCCTTTATTTTCTTTTAATTTCAGCAGCCACATTCTCAGATGATGTAAATCAGCACTTTCCCATTTGCATCAGCAACTGTAGAGCAGATTTACATTAATCAATAGTCTGGTTCCATTATGATTTTATCTTTAAATTTCGTATATTTTCAGTTTGTTTGAAAAGACCCATGCAAGAGCAGCTTCCATATCCTACTAACAAACATTGCCAACATTTCGTAATTTGTGATGAGATACTCATCTGAGGTATTACATGACAACATACAGCAGCAACACAAAGTATTTAGGGGAGGAAGGAGAAAGGATTCAAAGGATCAGTTGAAACTCAGAGGGAACTTTCAGTAAGCTGCAGGCAATCAATCAAATCAGAGTTTGCAAGGCAACAAGAGCCAAATGCAGTTGGAAATACAGCATGGGATCACAGACACTTAAAATTCCCATTATTTTAACCTTTCTATTCTACAAAGAATTTGTTATTTCCCACAGTGCCTCTTACACCAACAGCAACAGGGATCTTTCTGGCTTCAGAAAGGAGTTA